TAATCTTGGGTGAACGTGGAGTGCAGTTCGACCATTTTAGTTGACAGCCATCGAGGAAGATGTCTGGCTCCACAACGAGATTATGCCTCTCTTTTCTCCCGATTTAAATTTAGGTCTAGATATGGGGTTTAACTCTCCCGATTTAAATTTAGGTTTAGATCTGGGAGTTCCTTACATATTCATGTTGGTGTCTCTGCACGGCGATAGTGATGAGGGCATTGAATTTAGACGTGCACCGCAAGCCATTGCAAATAAAGTGGAAGATCTCAGCATGTGTTCATCATTAAATCTGGTGATCGGCCGCCGAACATTTATAGTGGCATATTTGTTATTGAAGGATGAGAGTGTGCTCTTAACTTCATACTCTGCTTTGTACTTTGTTATTTGTGTTCTAGTATTTGCTTTGTTCTATAGTTATTTGGGATTTGCTAGGCTTGTATGGACAAATAACTAATTCTGATAGTTATTTGTTATTTGTTCTAGCGGATGAGACTAACCAAAAAACAAATGCATCAAACATTGTGATAGTGACAATCGACATCAAAATGCATGAGTTTTATATGTTTCCCTCGGTCCAATAGCCGTAAATCATAACGTAACATAGCATCTCGGCACCAAATCTGTTAAAGATAATTAGATATCTTATAGTGATATTGGGGATATTTCCTCTTATTTTCTATATATATTTTGATTATGCATATCTAATTTGATATTTTTTTATTTCCTTATATAATTATCTATTAAAGCCTATTTGGAGGCTATCATGTACTCTTTTCTTATATCGGAATATATACAAATTCCACAATTCTATCTTTCACTACATTTCATTTAATTATCAGATTCAGTCGATCTTGAGGAAATCCTAAGTGCATCGCAACTCGTAGTAAAATAAATCCATCTCGTTGTTTGATAGTGTTCGCCTGAGTAGACATGGCCACGGGCCGGTTTCGGCCCGGGTCAAACCCAAGACCGGCCCGTTGACCGGGCCCGCGGTTCGGAACCAGAACCGGCCCGTGGCCTACGGGCCCGATTCCGGTTCCAACAATTTTGGAACCGGCCCGAAACCGCCGGTTCCGGGCCCGGTTCCAAAAAAAAAAACTGCAACAGGGCCTGCACGTCTGCAGGCCCAGGGTAGGTGGCCGTTGGCCACTTGGCCTTGGCAACGGCTACTTTAAAATATATATTAGCCATTGCTATTGGCCGAAGGCTCAATATCGACAACAAGAGATAGATTGGAATAATGAATCCAAATTCTTTGACGACGGAGATACCACCACTACCGATACCGGAACGGGTAGCGACGACTAAGGGTAAAAGAAATTCATGGATTTTAATTCTTCTATCCCCAAGAAGATATGTAAGGCGCTTAATGATAATTCATTAAGTTCAAGCCCCATCTTTTTCTCTCTTTTTTTTTCCCAAATTTGATTACAATGTACATTTTCATTACATTTTTTATTGAATAATTCATTATTTCATAATTTGATAATTCATTATTTTTTTATTTCATAATTTATTTTTTTAATTTTTACCGTTCGGTTCCGAACCGGGCTGGAACCGAAACCGCCTCGGAACTGTCGGTTCCGGTTCATACATGGCCACGAACCGGAACCGGCCAGTTCCGAACCGTGGCCATGTCTATGCCTAAGTGCTTCATTCATGTTTGACCAAGCGCCATGGTGGTCGTATTACGACGTTGGCAACACGTCACCAACTTGAATTTTTCTTTTCTTACAAAGGTATTTTTTTACTATGCGAACGTGCTTTGCATAGTAACTTTCGCTCAGCAAAGCCTGGCTTATCCGACTTGTTGTAGCCACGGTGTATCGGCCATGTTTGTTAAGTTACTATCCCGACAGCAAAGTCGATCGCAAAGGACACATGATGTTTGGCTCCAATGTCGATTCTCGACTTTTCACGTCTCATTTCAAGAAACCAACACCACCACTAGACTCTATTGCCCTCAGACGAGCCAAATATAGTAGATGCCACCTCACACACTACCTCACTGCGGATCCACCAAGCCCGATGCCACTTGGTATCGTTGGAGAAACAAGTTTCTGTTCAACATTGATTCAGGATGTTAAAGATATTTATATATCTTCTAGTGATATTGATGATGTACACAAATTCCTCATTTTCTCTCTACCATGATCTTAGATTCAACTAAATCAAACGCTCGTATGAGCCGAATCAAATTGATGGACGAGGATCACAATATAAACCTCATTATACTTACATCCATAACAAAGTAAACGCCACCCAAAAAAGCAAATATTAATAAAATGCTAGAAGAGGCGGAGAATGACTTGCTCAGTTCAATTCCAGGAGCATTTTCACTCTCTTATCTCTATTGGCCCCATTTGGTTCAGCATTCCCAAGGAGTTTTCGGCCTCGAAAGCCCCTTGGAAAAATGCTAGGGCGTTTGGCAAGCATTTCCAATGGGCTTTCGGCTGAAAGTTGGCATTGGGAATGCTCAAAGCTCAAAGCTGGTCTGGACCAACTTTGGACTTTCAGCATTTGCCAAATGCTTAAGTAAATTTTTTTCTTCCCAAACTATCATTATTTATTCTTTAATATTCCGGTTTTGCCCATTTGTTGTTACTATTTATCTTCTTCACGAAAGGGCAGCCGGCGAGGGGCCAGTGAGGTCACCCGACTTATGCGCCATTGGCCTGGGTCGTACGATCGCCCAGGCGTTGTCGACCTAGGTCGTGCAACCTCAGGCCTTGTCGCCTGAGGTCGGGCGACAGCCGCCGGCGCCAAATCTAGCTCGCCGACGGCCGTAGCCCTTCGCCGGCTCTTGCGAAGGGTAACCTTTTTTTTTTAATAAAAAAGAAAATCCCAAAGCTCTTAACAAAAAAAAATTAGCCAAACACTACTTAGGCCAAAGTAGCTTCACAAAGAATTTTTTACCAAACGCCATTTGCATTTCCCCGATGGACTTTTAACCTAAAAGTATTTGCATTCCTCCAAGACTCATTTGCAAAATTGAACCAAACAAGCCCATTATCTTCCACGTAAATATATAAATTATATATATAACATTATTACGCTTGTACGGTAAAACTGAAGCGGCCTAATAATCAATCTTTTGACGGTATAATTGTAATTAGGTATTAAACAATGTAAGAAATATACAATATCAGCAAGGGTTAGTTTATGCGAATAAATTTGAATACACAATCAATAATTATCATTCTACAAAAAATAAAGGGAAATTGACATAAATAGTCCATGAACGTTGACCCAATATACGATGTGATTCCTGAATTTTTAATTTGTTCAATGTGATCCTTAAACTTTTGGTACGTGTTCAAACTAGTGCATAACCTATTTGTTTAATATGATCCCTGAACTTTTAATACATGTCCAAACTAGTTTGTAACTTTGAAAATTTTCATAAAGTCTAGGAACTAGTTTGAATATGTATCAAAAGTTCATGAACCACATTGAACAAATTAAAAGCTTAAGGACCACATTGCACATTAGGCCAAAGTTCATAGACTATTTATGTCATTTTCCCAAAAGTAAATTTACAATTACTATGGCGGTGAACTTAATAATAAAGTCTAAGAATTACTTTTTTATTGTTTGGATTTAAGAAGGGATTACGCTTTTTCCACTCTCTTTATGGCTAAAGCACTCATTAACACAGTATTATGACAAAATTGCCTTTTGTGAGTCTCACTTTTAAGCATCCCTTCATCCTTTTTTTTTTATTGATTCCTTATTTCTTTTCTTGTGGATTCCACGTCCACTTTCCTTAAACTTTTTCATTCTCTTTGTTCTCTCTCTTTTTTCTGTTGAACTTTCTTCTCTCTCAAGAGGTAGAAAAATAGAGAATCATAAAGTTCAAGTTCTGTGCTCGCATATCCTCGGTAAAGCCACATCAACCCGCCACCGAGACGTCAGCGGAGCCCTCCTCCTTGACCACCTCTGTCTCCGCGACTACTAATTTAATTCGCTCAACCTCATTATAATTCATGCTCTTTTAGACGAAATTTAGCAAATTGGTCGATGTATATTTTCGACAGCTAGATGAGGAGAAGGCGAAAAAATTGATTGTCAAGCTCTAGGAGGTAATAAAATGCCAACAAGATTTGCTTATGAACAACGCTGAATTTCATTGATTCCTTGTGCAGATAAAAAAATTTCCATGAAATGTTTTAGATTACGGAGAGTGTGCATCAAGGCCACCGCCGTCAACCTCCCCATCACCCTTCCCAGCTTCACCTCATCATCAAAGCGAACTAATCCACCTTTGCCAGGCTCATCTAATGCAGAGTGCACAACCTCTTCATGTCCGGCCAGTATGCGCAACTCTCCGCGAACAACATCCCCTTAAAACGTGACACCCACAGGAAAAAAAATAAAAAAAAATTAACCAAAGAAAAGGGACACGATTAGAAAAAAAATGTGACAGCACTTTCTTAAACACATTGCTGGATTAGGGATACTAAAAAGTGGGATCCGCAGGGAGTAATTTTGTTAGGTTATTATATTGAGGAATATTTTAACTGAAGAATGAGTGAAAAAAAATGTGACTCTTTAAGAGAATCTATAACACGGGTTAGCTGAGTGTTCTCACGTTTTTAAGAGTTGAGTAACAAGTGACATGACAGATGTCATTTGGACAACACAGCTCGTCTCATCTTATCTCATCTTTAATATCCGTCGTCGCTGGTGATAATTGCCGCCGCTTGTCTGGTTACGACAATTTCGCACGTTTGTCCTGCTCTCTTTCCTTCCCTTCTTATCGCGAATCCCATTCTTCTTTCTTTACCTCGTCTCACTGATGATGTCCCCCCCTCTATGAAATGACGTACGTGTCCGCGTCATGTTCAGCGAAACGCGTATACCTCCACAAATTGTCCATGTCCTCCGAATTGTTTCTGGATTCTACCAAATGTTTCTGGATTCTACCAAATTCGCGTATACCTCCACAAATTGTCCATGTCCTCCGAATTGTTTCTGGATTCTACCAAATTCGTATGAGGGCTCTTCCGGGTTCTATAAATAGGGGCCTCTGGGTCTCGTATGGTTCATACAGCAATCACCGACAACCAGGGAACTACTCAGATACCCAAGAAAGTTTTTGGAATTTCGCTCGCATTCACTTCGAGACAAGAGAGAAGAGAGCAAGATGGCAGGTGAAGGGCAAGTGATTAGCTGCCACACCGTCGATTCTTGGAACCAGCAGCTCCAGAAAGGAATTGAGACCAAGAAACTGGTATGTAAATTTCACTTGCTCTGTCTTCTGATTGGTTTTATACTATGTGGGTCTCGTTGGAGATGGCGAATACTTCGGGGACCCTTGTTTCTCATACCGGGTACGCCCACGTGAGCCTAGGGAAACTGAAGTATTATCCGACGACATGTGATCCCTGCGTGTGGAATGCGGGGATTCGGGGGCAGCGCCCCAGACGGGTTCCGTTGCCCGGTCAGCGGACGGCTGCCCCGCTCACCGGTGAGCGGGTAGGGGCTCGGGGCAGCACCCCCGAAACCTCAACTGGTTTGGGCTTTTATTTAAGCTGGCCGTATAGTGCGAGATTAAGAGATTTTGTATAAGTTTAGGTTTTTGGCCCGTTTGGGACACATATATATTTTGCTCGTTTTTCTGATTATTGTAATGAGTTGAGTGGCTGTAAATCGAAAATATAGTGAAATCTCTTTGCAGGACGTAGCCCTATTCGAGGGTGAACCTGGATAAATTCGTGCATCGTCTTTTTTCTCTGATTTCTGCGTGATCGTTCTGTTTCGGTTCTCAATACATCCCTTCAGGTCTCGTTCTGTTTTTTGTTTCAATGCAATGCTTCTTTATTTTCTTGCCGCTTCTCCGTCGTGCTTGATATTCCTGCGATGGGTTTAGCGCAGAGTAGGTTTTTAGTGGTTTCTTGTTTCGAATGAGGGGTTTGCTTGTTGGCAATTACTGTGAGAGATTGTGAAGGGTGGAGGGGAGGCAATGGAAATGGAATGGTGTTTGATTGCATTTTGGTTTGTTTCGAGTTGATTTCGCCCCCATCCAGTGTTGAGGAAATTCACGTTCTGTGATTCTTTATGGCGAAACAGATAAAATGAAAGGCCAAATTAAGTTTGCGCATCATCGATTTCCTCTTTAACCATATATCTTCGTACACTGGTTCGTAAAATTTACAATTTTTTTTGTGTTTTTTAGTATTGTTCTTAATTGCCCAATATCCAATTCCGGGTTCTTGCTCTCTTCTTCAGACCTTGGGTGCGGTTGTTTTTCGTTCTCATCTCGAGTTTGCGTTCTTCAAAGACAGCAATTGCATTATGCATAGAAAGAAGCTTCCGTGTCTCGGTTCTCTATGCTGATGAATCGGCTTAAACATCGTATGATAACTGCTCTCTCAGGATGATGTTTGTCAAAGAAACTTAAGCTTGTTAAGTTATCTCTAAAACTAGATATTTATGTCACAAATAATTGTAAAAGCTTGCAAAAGCCCAAACTAAAATCGTTCTGTTGTTGTTTTCGTCTATAATGTCTACATTTGTTTCGCTGAGCTCTATAGTCTATATTGTTGGAAACATGGGTAGATATAAACAGCTTCCTGGTTCACGCTAGTGCCGCAAATTGTGTATGTACTCTTGAGTATTCGTGTAAATGATTTGGTCTGTTTGATAGGTGGTGGTGGATTTCTCTGCTACATGGTGCGGTCCGTGTCGTCTCATTTCCCCAGTTCTGGAGGACCTGGCGAGAAGGCTGACTGATGTCATTTTCCTGAAGGTCGATGTCGACGAATTAAGGGTATAAACTATCTGGAACTTCCTCATTGCTTATGATATTACATACTTTGTGGATTACTCCACCTCATTTATCTGTTAGAATGTCTTTCTGCTTTTGTTGTGATGGATGCCACAAATTACCTGGTAATATAACTTCTAATTGTGAATTGTCGTCGATGCTATGTGATTAATGCAGTCTGTTGCTGAGGATTGGGCTGTGGAGGCGATGCCCACTTTTATCTTTATGAAAGAAGGCGCAATAGTGGACAAGGTTGTTGGTGCAAATAAGGATGATTTGCAGATGAAGATCACGAGACATGCAACCGCTACTGTGACTGCTTAATAGTATATACCTACTGGGCACGTAGCTTGCGTTGGATTCGACCATAACATATCATCGTCCTTTTTAGCCTGTTTGTGTCCATTTCTAAAGTACATCAGTGTGCATGAAGCTCTTGTTGCTTTCTCCGTACTCCTGTATTGCTTAAGATGTAATTCCAGACGCCAGACTACTCTACTTTGTGGTCTTTTCTTGTGCTGTTTATTTATAGAGGCATGTGTGGAGCTATGTGAACTTATCATTGAAGTAATAAAAGGCATATTTCTGCAGTTCTGTTTCCTTGGAATGACCAAGATTTTGGAACTCGCAAAATCTTGATTTTGGTTTGTCATGATATCACCGAGAATGCTAAGCGGTTCCATTATTTCAACATGTTTGAACATACCAGTATGGTACACGATTTTAAGCTCTTTTGGGTATAATCATGAAGAAGCATACCAGTATGGTACACGATTCTAAGCTTCTTTAGGTCATATAGTAGCTACATATTGATCAAAAGACGTACAGAACACAGCAACTGTTCAGTAGCAACTCCTCCATGCTCGACTGGACAACCTTCATTGAATCGTAGATACTGAATTGGCGCTTCATACCTTCGAATTATTCACAAGGAGGAGATGAAACAGTTGGTACAATGATGTGGAATATGAACAAGTTGAAGCAAAGCACTAGCCCTTGCTAATTTCATTCCCCTAATCACCTGATCCTGCCCTCCAGAAAGCTAATAAGATAAGCCTATGTCTAAGTTTATCTCTACATTTATCTCCCAGAATGGATGAAGGGCAATTCAGCATCCACCAAATGAAATCTAAGCCACCTTCATCTGTGAACTCCCATGTCTTCTATCCATAACTACCTTGAATACATAGAGAAAAGAGAGTCTATTCTCCTTTTATTCTTCCGTATAGTGGTTCTCATGTACGTGAATTTGGTCTGTTGCACCATCTGTGGAACAAGTAGCTTCAATTTACGCCGACACCAGTCTCTTCACAAGAGAGATTTGTGATACATCCCCACCAAGTTCCTCAAAAATCACCAAAAAGTTCCTCGTTGGCTTTAACCATGATCTCGGAACATGATACCTGATACACAAAATCTAAAATTAATCAGTACGAAATTTGGGGATCCCATTTCCATAATTTATAAGCCAGCAAATGTTGCAGGTATGAATAAGATACTTAAAGTCCACTATGGTAATGGAATTTGAGTCGTCACACAGCAAGTACCATCTTTGTGTTGGTTGGCCACAACCAGATTGGCATTTTGGAGGCCGAAAAGTCCCGGAATAACTACACGAGTCGCATTTTCCATTTGCAAAATTCATCCAATATCGCCCGATACTCTGTCCATTGACCCATACCTGCCCCTTTCCCATACTTCGCAAATCCAAAGCCAGCGGTTCTTCACCTTCAGGTGCATCAAAGTAAGTCTGCAAGTTTTTGTCCAACATTCAGCTTTGCTTATACCACACATGACCTTCGGTTCACTATCTAAAATTTTACTGACCTTATGCCATGACAATGGTTGCTGGGTTTGGGTAGCCAGTGACTCGGGGAGCCAATCAACAGCTGAGACACCAGTTGGAGAAATCAAGTTCATCATTTCTCCTTTTAGGCCAACCTATTTGAGGAATCCATGAGACTGCAATTTCTCGAAATTATGATGTATAACAGAAATACAGCAGACGGATGGAAAAATGATATTGCCTGACCTGATAGGACCATTTCTGCCACGTCAAATCCTTCTTTCCCTCGTCAAGACCATCTAGTAAAACTGGACCTAGGATTCCAGTGTTCCAAGTTTCAAAGTGCAGCCCCACATTCTTCAAGTTTCATACAAGTAGAGAGAAAAGGATCTCAGATTAGTATCCAACTTCAGTATATTTCATTTGTGGTATTATAGGCATATAAATTGCAACTACGTTGCGCTTGTTAATAAAACACACCGGTAGCCCCACTGCGATGCTGAGTAATGCGATTCTATTTGTTCCAGCACGGAGGTTGACAGGTCCATTGAATGTGAAACCCCTGTTCTCCCTGGTCCCAAAGGCAGATCCTGTAGTTATACAACTCAGCTTCACTGACTTAAATCATGTTCACAAACAATTATGAAGATACGACTTGACTCATGCAAGGTAGATTGAAGTCAATTAACTGACCAGAAAATTGCCCATTGATGAAGACATGAAGAGCATGCCCAGCTGACTGCACACTGAGTGTGGGCTTCCGTCCTCCCCGTAACAATGATTCTGATGAACTAATGTCCACGCTGAAGGCAAAGAAAAATGCAGAAGTCCATAAAAGCACACCACATGAACTTAAAACTTTTTCACCAGATGATGCAGCCTCTTCTGCGATACTTTCTTAATTAATTCATGTTAAGCGTTTCAAAGATTTACATTATGAGGGTTAAAGATGAATAAGATTTCCACTTGCCCAGCTTAGCAGCATCTGTTAGTTTCCTATTTCCTTCACTTATAAACATCATTATTTTTCTAGCCTTCGCATCCTTAATATGTTGAAAAGGACATCCCGTCTTGAGACACAATTGCATAAACTCGGACAAATCAGCCTAGACAACTCCATTAGGGCAACAAACTCATTACCATATATAACTATACGACTCTGAAACTGTATCTTCACATAAGACAAGAAAAACATCATGTAAAACCAAACTCACCTAGTCATGTACCATAGGTAGTCACTGCTATCTCTAGTGATGTTTATTTGTTCGAAGAGTCCAATAGCCGTTATCCTTGAGGCCTCTTCTAGAGAAGAAATATCCTCATCATAGGTCTCCCACGAAAGAAACAAAGAATTACTTGATAACATTTGGGTCTGCGAGGTAGGAACTTTCACCTAAACAAAGAAAATACAATACTGTTAGTAAATGAGAGAATTCTTTGGTGGATTGGTCTTTGCGGACTGATCAAAGCATTGCCACTGACATAAGAAGCCCTCTGTGACCCGCCCCATAAAATGAAATCATCGATACAGTATGCTGAAAAGAGTCCTGTAGATAATTTCCATCAAAAAGAGATGCAGCATATATGCTTCGGGATTTTCAAATTTCATTTGTAACTGCAGGGCAATGGAACAGAAAATTCGAAAATTTTGTGCACCTTGGCTGTATTGAACACGTCGTTCTTGCAATCAGGAAGGATACTAATGGACCAAGGAGGCAAATTGTAGTGTCTACTCCTGAAAGTCACCCTAGCAGCTGATTTTGAGTTGGAGTTTGAGAGAAAAGCTGCACAAACAGGCCCTGAAGAGAACACATGAGCCTGAAAGACATGTGAATAACTGTGTCAGCAGAATGAAGTTTTCCTACTCGTAGACAACTTGAGAAAAAAGACTCTGGTGTCTTTGAAGGATGACCCGCTGATAAGTTCCCAAGGAAGTAATGGTAGGATCGGAAGATAGTAAAGCAGGTTCACATTGCTTGATGGCTTGATGAAGCTCCTTGAGATGACCATATTTGGGTTGCCGGATCAAACCTGAGTGGATTCAATCTTTAGTTGTAAAACATAACTTTGTATTACATTAACAGGTGGATAGAAATACAGCTCTAGGGGCAAATGCGAAAGATTTTGGGAATATAAAGGTCATGAATATGTGTGGTATTATCATGCCAATAAAGTTAAACGACATTATCAGCAAAGCAAAAAGTTGCTAAAAAGCACGCGACTGCAGAAGCGATGGGAATTTCAAGAAGGTTCTGAACAAAAAATCCCAGGAACACAACAAATGAAATATGTTTCTTTAGAATGGGCCTAGATGGTCACCATATTCATCTATTGGAGCATCATAGTCATAGCTGGTTGTGATGAAAGGACCCCCAGCAGTCCGTCCAAAGTTGGTTCCGCCATGGTACTGCCATATCATATCATAATTAAAGATCAGTTTAGCACAAAAGCTTAATTGCCAACACAATCATGAAGCTGGCAGTAAACTAACCATATAGTAATTGATGAAGGAGCCACCCATTTGAATGAACCGAGCTACCGCAAAAGCCAAATCTTCAACTGGCCGCTCATAAATTGTGCCACCAAACTCCGTAAACCTTCTCATTGGGAACAACCAGTAGATGTTTCAGAAATTGAAAAAAGTTAATAAAGGAGTCTGTACTCACAGCATCAACATAGGCACATAGAGATGCTTTACCAGCCACTCCAGGCTTCAGTCCACATTTTTGGCTTGTAAGGTTTGTCGGGTGAGAAAGTATCACAATAAAACCCATTACATGCATTTATCTGCGGCCAGTGATGGAAAGCCAAATTTAGAATCTACTTAGGAAGCTCCAATAAAAGAGAATACAAGAAGCAAAAGTTTGACAGATCTTTTGGAATTAGAGATTGAAACCAATTGCTATGGTTACATTTTCAGGTAATAATGAGGCATATAGAGTGACATTGAGAAATAAATTTCCTCACCACAGGATCTGGGGCATCATCTTCCTTGCACATCACCCATGGGACCCCCGTATCCAATCCAACGGCCATTTTAGCAGCCCAACTTACGTATGCATGACCAGCAGCTCCAAGTGCTTTGCTCTCTGGACCATATTCATTTTCAATCTGAAGAGAGAATTTGGAAAATCGAATGGTTTATACTGAAGCATCAATTCTAAGTGACAATAAACTTGGGATTTCTCTTCCTAAAAACGTTAACTTCAAATAAAGTCGTTTAATATCTCGGTATAGAAAAATTAAGCTAGCAAACAAGCAAACTCTACTAGGCCTATTATGAAAAACATTACTTGAGCGAGTATAATGGGACCGCCTTGCGATGCGAAAAGCCGCTCATCTTTCATCATCTGTACAATTTTCTGCGTGAATCCTTGCATTGCAGCCTTCAAAATTTCCACAATAAAGAAGTCAGAAGAATACATTCCCAAGTAAGTAATTCTGGAAGTTAATCGATCAAGGAAAAAGTGTCAAGTTTAAATTCTAAATAATTTTGCAAAGATATCAGCTGACTGGAAGGGATTCTGAAACCTTGAAAGGCTCATTATCAGTTCTGAAGCTGATCCCAGGTACATACTTCAGCCAAACAGGAAGTCCCCTGCACAAAGAAAGTATTCAATGTACGGTCAAGCAAGCCACAAATCCATTTAAAAAAATAAAGCCCCAATGAAAATATGCAAGGACATCAATCACGAACATTCGTGGCTCACGAAGAGATAAGGGCAATCTAATCAACTGTTAAAAGGCAATAAAGCAACAAAATGAAGAGGAAAAGAATACAAAGCAGATACCCGAAATTCCACTCTGCACAAACGTACGGCCCAATGCGGAGATGAGCATAAAGTCCTACTTGTTGGACCGTCTTTATGAACCTCACAAGGTCGTATCTCCCATCAAAATTATACTGAAACACACCCATCAGAAGCAAAAAGGACCAAAATACAGGTCAATGAGAAACTCAAATTCTGAGAAAATAGCCATAATTGACAAGAAACAAAGAAAAGAAAGGGATTCGGAGGAGTACATTGCCAGGAGAAGGTTCATGACCATTCCAAAAGACATATGTCTCAATGACATCCAGACCTCCATCTTTAGCCTTCTGTATAAGATCTTCCCACATCTACACCCACACCCATTTTCGAGAGAAGAGACATGAGCCACATTCTCACAGGAAAGAGAAAATCCCACATTACAAAAGGAGAAAAAAAAAAAACAAAGAAAGAATCCGAAAATGGAAGTGAAGCTAAAGAGTGGAAGGTAAACAGAGCAAGTACATCAGGAGTGCTTCTGGGGTAGTGAATGGAGCCAGAGATGAGGATCCTCCTCTGGCCATTGATGATCAGTGACTTCCTATCATAGCTCACACTGCAACGGACCTCCTCAAAACCCAGGAACAAGTAGAGCAAGACCAACAAAGCTTGCAGCTTTGGAACTGAGAAAGTTCGCATTTTTTTGGCCTCACACGCTCTCTCACTCAAGAATGGAGGTGGAAATGAAGTGTCTCTGATCTAGAGAAGCTGTGAAGGAAGAAAAGTCATCTGGGTTTGTCGGTTTAACGGCGATGGTGTGCGCACACGGCTTGCTCACCGGCCTACAGGGGCAGGAGCTTGCTGCTCTGCAGAGTATTGTACGACCTTGGGGGGTGGGGGGGGAGACAATGAGACCCAGCGCAGCTTAAATTTTTGAATAGTCAGATTATTTTATTAAATTCTTGTTTTCCAAACTCTTTTCTTTCAAGAAACGCAGAATCCTTCGTAGACGTATTTTATTGTGCGACTCCAAATAAAAGTAAGGCTGTGCAAAGTGAACCGCTCAAACTGGAATCGTCCGGACCGAATTGGCCGGTTTGGTCCGGTTTTCGATTCCTAAAAGTGGAACCGGTATTCGAGCAGTCCTATTTTCGATTTCAAAGGGAACCGGGCCGATTACAATACTTTTTTATTTTTTAAAAAAAATTAATAAAATATGAACTAAGCCGATTACATATACCATTTTTTATTTTCATTACATTCATATTACTTAATTCAACAGGAAAAGATGACGTCAAGTAATGAAAAAAAATGATCAATTCAATGGACCGGTCCGGTTTCCGGTTCTTGTCCTCAGTTCTCAAAATTGGATATCGGACTGGATCGGAACCGATCATCCCTATATAAAAGGTTAGAAAAATGAACTTTGTCTTGGCTTTTCTTTCTTTTTTTTCTTTTCTCTTTCCTGGACAATGCTGTTTCTCGTACTGCTATTGGGGAAGCTGCTTTTTGAAAGCGGGCCGCATTTTCATGGCTTCTGCAGTTTTGGTTCTATTCGAATTTGTATGGCTTGATTTTGACTTTACATATGCCTCGGGATAATCGTGACAAGTGTGTTAAAACTTGCTCGTTCCTCATAAATTTAAATCAACAAACAGTGCACCTGATGGACATGCATATTCTTTTGAAAAAAATACCTTTTTTGGTCGATATTTTGAAAAAAAGAATTAAAAACAAAAAGTGATCTTAAGACACCCGTGACGCATTACAAATCGTATTTTAGAATACAAATAGGTATATCTAATGCATGTGATTTTTTTGAAATATATTTTTTTCAATTTTTTTCAATATGTATGTCTAATGCATGTGATTTTCTTGAAATGTATCCGTTTTCAATTTTTCATGTGCATAGATATTTATTTTTTTTTCTATTCTTAGTGGTCTTAATTAGTGTCCATGGTACTTGTTAGCAAGACCCGTTCTTTTTTTTTTTATACTTAATGTGTATGGTATTACTCAATCCAAAATTATGCCATTGATCATTTGATAATAAACATGAGCTTGGTTCCCATAGTTGAACTTCACATTTGGAGTTCTCTTAGGTTTCTTGAGAAAGGTTCGTATGCCGATTCCCATCGTTCATGGCTGATCTATTTTTCGACCAAAAAAATACAAATGGTTGATCTATTTGACCAAATGCTTTCCTTTCTAGTATTATTAATCAATTGCTCGATAGCTATTGTTATAGATTTGAATTGATTACAAAACATTTAATGCCGATGGCATATTCTTATTTTAATTTCAAAATCCGTTGCCTGAATTAAAATAAACGAGGGCAACAAAGTTCGAGATTCAAAGACTGAAGAGAAAAAAGGAAAAGAAAAACAAGATCAAACTTTAATATCTTCCCACATATGGTAACCCTAGGGGCCATGCATTCATGGAAGTTCCATTACATTGTGTCCCTTGATGATGACAAAATTCTATCCCTTTTGCATTATAGTATTGCCTATGTAGCCATGTGACATGTCTACTTAGATCGACACTTTTTTTTAGTCCTGTATAAAGTTGTTCTGCTTGGTCCATTTAATGTCAGCTTGGCCTTGTCGCTAAAGCTTTGATTGCACAATGAAATGGCATGACTAGAAGTGCCTAGAACGACGGCTTTGAGGGCGAAGAAGCCCACCTAGCTCGTGAACCCTAACTCAGTTTTCCAAATTTAGTATTCTTGCAATTACAATAATCTATTCTTATGGTTATGGCATAGATGTAAGTTGTTTTATTATACCATAGAATAGAGGTAAGCTACACAGCATATACCATATGCTTGCTTAGGTTTACAAACGAGTGACGCAACTCATGTACTAGGGGCTCGAGTATTGGTTACTTAAGTTTAGTTTGATTCTTTTTGTAAAAAAAAAGGGACAAGTTGCTAGGATATTAAATTGAATTGAGCTCGGACTTGAAACTGTTTGACTTGGAGCAGATCTAAGCAAGAGCTAAAAGTTGAAATACTTGACTTGGGTAGATGGTAAACCTAGTGTAGTAGTTGAATCGTTTATATAATTTAGTCATCAGCAGTTCTCAAATCAGACCTCAAGCTAAAATTCGAACTTAAACTCAAATTTACTTTTGAATCTGTCGACATGAGCTTAAGCTCGAGCTTGAGATATCCGGTTTGATGCACAAACATGAACCTTGGATATTCGGATTGAGTTCAATGGCAGTGTCGATTGATCCGAATTAATTACATTCGCAACTGATCGGAACTCACACGCGTGAACACACGAGTTGTATAGTACAATCTGTGTACCCCGAAATTTGACTAGAGGGCTTCGTACACGCGGTGTTAAAGTCTATTCAACTAAAATGCAGAAAGGGAGGTGGAGCCTCGAAAATCGATTGATTTAAAAGAAGGCAAGCGAGAGCAACCTCGTTGATATGAGAAACCGAGTCCCATCACTTTCCTCTATCGCAATCGTCACAGCCTTTGCCTTCACACGCTGTGCTCTTTTCTCGGAGTATCTCATGCAGATATACCTACTAAAGGCTTCTAGCATTCAAAGCTGTTCGTGACGTATTCAACTCTCGCGCTTCGATTGAAGGACCCACGAAGGTTTTTTAAGGTTTCTACTTTAATGGTATCCAAATGGCCTCAAATCCTTGGCAATTCAGCCGACGGAAAAATTACTAGAAAAGTTATAAATTTATTATATTGATGACAAATTAGTTCTAAATATTTTAATTGTGCCAATTTAATTTTAAATCTTTTAATTTAGTGTCAATTCAGTTCTTTCAGCTAATTTTGATCGGATATTGTTAAAGTGGACGCCGGAAAGCCCACGTGGCATCGCCCGTACTAACGTGGATAATTTTTAATAATATTTTAACATTTTGTATTGTTTTTCTGTTTTTTCTTCTTTTTTTTTTCCTTTCTTCTTCTTTTTGTCAATGACCAGCCACTGGCCATGGCCGAACAAGCTAGTCTCGCCTAGGCAAGGATTGCTGTCACCCGCCACGAGTGAGGGCCGGCTAGGTGAGGGCAAGCCCTGGTGAGAGTTCCCCTCGCCTTGGCCTGGGCGAGGGTTGGCCTCGCCTAGGTGAGGCTTGGTAGACGAGCGACGCTTGGCGAGGGGAGCCCTCACATCCCCTCGCTTGAGTGAGCCTCACCACTCACCTGTGGCAGGCAATGGCGACTTTGCCAGCTTGCCGGTCACCGGCAAAAGAAAAAAGAAAGGAAAAAAAAGACTAATAAAATATTATAAAATATTATTAAAAATTCCTCATATAAGTGCTGGCGGTGTCATGTAGGCCAGCCAGACACAATCAAAATTATTTTGAAGGGATAAATTGACACAAAGCCAAAATATTTAAGATTAAATTGATATAATTAAAAAAATTAAGAATAAATTGATATAAATATAACAAGCTTATGACTTTTCAGGTGACTTACTTTGAGGTTTCTGTTGCACCGGTGACACTACGTTTTGTCATCTCTTGCTTTTTGGGTTTTCCAATATTCGCCACCGACGCTAGCTGCGCACTGCTGGTTCGGTCACCTAATGATTTGATTTATGTCGTATCAAGTTTGATGGAACGTTCTAGTGATGCCCGCGCAAGCATTCTCAACCACGCCAACCAAACTGAGGATAAACTAGTCTTTTGACGAAGGCTTGGTACTTGTATTATTAACTTTGAAGTTTTGTAATGCAATGTTTAGTGCTATGAACTTGTTTCACGCAAAGGTGAACTCCCCATTAGAGAAAAACAGAGATATTACATGTAGCAAAGATCTTCCTAAAATATTATAAAACGAGCTAATCATTTCAATGCTTAGGTCCCTCGTTTTTTCAATACTCGGTTGAAACTTGTCGTATAAACTTGTGAGTTTTATTGAGGCTGCTTAGTATGTCTAGTATCTTACGAAAGAAGAGTAACAAACCAAATTATGCAGGGTTTGCAAAATGACATGATGGCAAGAGATCATTTCGACAATAAAAAGATGTGTCATCCTCTCCTTGTGGTCTGGGTATCTAGCCTTGTTGAGAGCACTTTCGAAGCAAAATTCCGGATGCATTATGTCAATATGGAAGAGCGCACCTTAAAATCGTCCGGGGAGATGGACTAACCAATGTGTGCAAAATTAGCTTGAACGCTACCTAACCTCTAAGCATAGCATCATTCGATTGCACCCCTCATAATCTAATAGTCAGTGTACAGGAGGCAAGACGAGGAGCAAATCACATATTTTGGAGGATTTTTCAATCCTCAAAATTGTATGAGTAAGACACTCCTAGTTAATAAGATAACGAAAAGAAAAGAAATAATATCAGGAAGACTAGAAGGATAATTTTACGTCACATTTGTTAAGGTGTTATTCGCATCACTCGAATACGAGATTTCAATATATATACTAGAGATAAGTGCACTAAAAGTGACAAACTTGTTACAAAAATTTAATTGAGTCATAAAATAAACTAAAAATACAATCAAGTCTTAAAATTCAAATTGGTGCAATCGAGTCATTTCGTTAACTCTATCTAACCTTTTTTTTTGGTTAAAAACTCTATCTAACTTGGCTAACGAAAAATGCTGACGTAACTTTATTTTATTTTATTTTCTCTTTTCTACGTTTCTGAAACATGAAACACGAAGTTGACCCTGCCGATCGTTGGTGAGAGCGAGCCTCGCCCTCGCCCTCGCCTAGCCACTGGCAAGGCCGACCTCGTCTCTTACCGGTTGTCGGTTAGAGGTTGAAGATGAAGGGAGGGAAAAAAAATGGAAAAGGAAAATAATAAAATATTATTAAAAATTATTCATGCCAGCGCTGGTCGTGCCACGTAGGACGATCGCCGTTCATGTCAGTACAAGTCGGCCAAAATTGGCCGCATTGACTGAATTGGCA